TATTTTATTCATTTTATACTGTTTTAAACATTAAAATATTTGAAAATATTCATAATCAGAGAAGTAATAAAAAACATCGTTGCTATGGTTTTTGATGTCAAATATTTTACCACGTCAAAATATGGCAGATGATATTTTCTGGTGACAAACGGGTAGCATACGTCAGTCATTTAGCATTTGACTGCTAAAGACGAATTGCTAACGCTAAGGTAAATGACACTTATATTAACATAAAATATCTACATATCATTAAAATATCTACAAATCTATAGCTGGTTGATAGCTACATATCAAAATATTTTAGACAGCGATTTTATTACGATATGACGCTAGCTACAATCGCCAGTGGATCTTTAGCTTATTAAGCTAGCTGTCCTTGTAGCCAAATTGCTATCTTTAACTTTACAAATATCGATAGTTTTTCGCTAACTTAAAATTGCTAGCGATCCTCGTGGCCAAATCGCCGTCTTTATCGTTACAATTATAGCTAGCTATTCATAAGCCGATTTCGCACCGGGTTATTGATATGAGCTTGGCTCAAACCTCAACTTTGTGAAAACTTGCGAGTTTTGATTACTTGTTACTCATATTACTTATAACCATTGTGGATTTTGGATTTAAATAGAAATTTACTAAAAAAAAAAATATTTTAGGACCTTCAAGTGCCAGGCACCTTTTAAAAATTCTAATCATTCTTTTTCTAAAACTTTTACAATTTTAGAAAGAGAACGTTTATTTTACGAGTTTAGCAATACATACTTGTTGCATTCTTAACAAAGTGCACAATAACCACAAAGCTATCAAAAAACACCACAAGCATCCATTTAAAATATACAGCAAACATGAAGCTATTAAAACTATAAAAAACCCATGAAATTGAGAATTATGTCAACTTAATGGCAAAATATGCGTCTGCCAATTCTTTTTTTTATTAGCCACTTTCATACGACGCGATTTAACCATCTTTATAAGAAAGATATAGTTTGAAAGCGAACAAAAGCGGATTGTTTTAACTCTTTCATACTGTTGTTTCCGGACTTTCGAACATGCACAGAAAAATTGTGGTTGTTTAGCTTTAAAGAGACACAATGGACCCATTTTTTTTAAAAAAAAACAGTTGGATCGACAGAACTTTATTTGATATGGCACCAGAATCATCTTATTTAACTTTTAACAAAAGCAGCTAGAACTACAGAAATTTGTTTTATGGTAGATATGTTTTTTGATTGTTTAAATGTAAAAAACAAAGTTGAAGATATGACGAAGAGGAAGCCATTTTTAAAACTTTATTAATTAGTAGATAATTTTATTGTTTGATTGTAGAAAGAACCTATAGATCAATTAGTAGGAAGTTTTGATGAGAGCTAGAAATCAACAATGTTTATTTCTTTACAAATTTAAATTTGCAAATTAATCTAAAGAAGTTGTTAAAGTTTCCCTTTGAAATGGTGTTCCATTAGTTATTCCTGAAAGATTTGCAGAAAAGATATATATATATATATATATATATATATATATATATATATATATATATATATATATATATATATATATATATATATATATATATACATAAATACATACATACATACATACATACATACATACATACATACATACATACATACATACATACATACATACATACATACATACATACATACATATGTAGTATATATAGACATACTATAGTGTATGTAGATATGCATTTGCCAACTGACTTATTATCCTAACTTTTATTACTGACTTATTATAACTGATTTATTAAGTATATGGTTTTCTTGGGAAAACAACAATTTTCGCCTTAACTCAAACCCTTAGTTAATGTAGTGGTACTCCCCTTGATTACTTGCTGAATCTCATATATCATTAAGAAAAATTTTTTGGCCTCTCAAAAGAGGTTTCAGAAATTTTTTTTCAAATTTAAATATAAATAATACAAAAAAAACAAACAATATACAGTATACTACACAATACTGTAGCATATCAAGCAGCCGTGGCGCAGTGGTAGCGCACTTGTCTTAGAAACGTAAGATCCGTGGCTCAAACCCCACCTCTGGGCAAGTTTTGCGACATCGGTTAGGAAGGAGGCGTGAACCTCCTATTAAATGCTCTTCCGCGGTGCTCTGTGATAAGACCGTAAGGACTTCTTGGGGCACCTTAATCAACTTAAAAAAAAAAAAAAAAAAAAAAAAAAAAATTATTACAAAGTATGAATACAAATACGAACTATTCGTAACTCTGAGTTTTTTTTCATTTGTTTTGATAATTTTAGATTGCACAGGTCTTGCTAGTTTTCTTTCTCATTTTAAATTTTCTCAGTTATGTCTCGTCGTAAAAATACGAACAAACTTTTACAAGCAATGTAAGTTAGTGTTTTAACAGATTCTTACAAACTTTACTTGATTACGGATCATATATTATTAACTAAAGCCTGAGTATTATCTTCCATAACACTGCAGGACAATAAAGTTGAAGCAAACTATTGACAATTTCTAAAAAATATATTCAATAAGATATTGTAAACTCCTTCTCAACATATTAGTTATTTCTTGAGTTCTATTTACAGATTCATTAATGACTGGTTTTGTATAAGCAAGATTGTTTTATATATCAGAAGACATTTCATGAGTGTATTGCATTTCATGAAGACATATCATGAGTGTTTACATTTCATGAGTGTTTACATTTCAGAAGACATTTCATGAGTGTATTACATTTCATGAGTGTATTACATAAAGTTATATTTCTTAAGTGTGAAACTAGTAAATTTTCGATCAACAGTTTAAAATACTCTTAATAAAATAAATCATTATTGACTTTAAATTTTTCTGATAATAAGTTCATTTTTTAAAAAAAATGTTTAACACAATTTATTGATAATCTAAACTTCTTGCATGATTTTTGTCAAGAACTGCTTACAAATGGCAGGTACATGTCTATTTTTAATAAATTTCGATATCTTTATTTATTCTTTGTATTTTTAGCGGTAACATTTTATTAAAGGTATTCTCTCCTACAAATGCTTCAAGAACGCCAGAAGTTTTTACAAATGTTTCAAGAACGCCAGAAGTTTTTACAAATGTTTCAAGAACGCCAGAAGTTTTTACAAATGTTTCAAGAACGCCAGAATTATTAGAATATGCCTTGATGCAAAGTCTTGTTACTTTAGACAATAATTAATTCAGATTCCTTGATAAAAAAAACGAGTTGTTTTCTGTTTTAACATTGTGCAGAGATTTACTTCATCTTGGTATCATTGGATTTATGGGAGGTATTGCTGAAAGCATCATGTATTGTATTTTCACTGGGTGGCTTGTATTTATAGAAACAATATTTTCAGAGATAAATTTAAAGGTAGTACTTATACTTCCCTAATGATCCCTTCTCTTTCTAAAAAAACCATTGTGAAACTGATATTGTTGTGGATGCTACTGAATTTAAATTTTAACAACTAACCAATTATGACCAAAACACTTTCATGTTTTCAAGTTATAAAAACTGCATAGAAGAGAAAGCTATAATTGGAATCTTTCCACATGGGTCAGGTTTGCTTTTTGGAGATATATATCCTGGTTCCATCACAGATAATGAATAGAAAAATCTCATATTTAAGAACTAGTAGAGAAAGAACACAAAATTATGGCAGATAAAGGATTTTCAATTAAAGATTTATGCTTCAAAAGGAATATATCTGAACCGTCCATCTCAGAAATCAAGCTATCAGTTTCCACAAGCTGACATAACTGGTAATTTGATATAGCTTCTACCCGTATTCATGTAGTAAGATTCATAGGAAGCGTATGTGCTTGTCTGGACTTGCTCCATTATTTAAATTACCTGGGTGAGAGAAAAATCCATATATTTTGGGAGAACATTTTGATATCTTTGCAAACTATTGAAGTGCCATAAACTCCTATTTAGGTCCACTCTCAAAATTTTTTATGTTTTGCGTGTTATAAAAATAGAATGTAGTCGGTTTTTTCTGTATTTAATGATAATTTGTTAGATATAAACCAAGTATTAGGTTTTCCAAATTCAATACTTGTAGTTTCAAAGAGTTCTGTTATAGAAGTAAATGAATAAGATAAATTAGTATCATATGCAAACATTATGGTATCAAGTTTGTTTGAGACTTTGGAAAGATCATTGATGTATAGCAAGATACGTAAGGGAGCTAGAATGGAACCTTGGGTAACTCCTCATTTGATTTTAAGCAAATTTTAATGGATATTTTTATCTGTATTAACAGATTGCTGTCTGTTTATAAAAAGGCTCTCAAACCATTGTAAAGCAACATTTTTAATACTTTTCCATTTTTTTCACAAACATTTTTAAAGTTAACTATGAAGAGTATTGATATTATTTACTCTTGTCCTAATTAATGATGATAAACTAATAAATACTTTTATATAGAGCACATTTCAGCTTATTTGAGAGACTTTGTGAAAAGTTATGCTGTAAAAACTAAAAAAAAAGTTGGCGTTTCTAAACTTTTCTAAAACTATTTAAAAAATAAAACGGAGGGTAGTTCACAATTCTAAACGAAATGCGGAAATCAAACAATTTGTGTGGTTTTTTGAAAATAATTTTTATGATCTTATTTGAAAACATTTTTTATGGTTTTTTATGAAAAATAATATAATTCAGAACAAATTTTGTATTCTTGGTTATTAATAGACCCTCGCAATTATTACTGTGTTAAGAATATCAGTATGTAACAGTATTTTTAGGGTATGTAAAAAGTTTCAATAAATTTTAGACGTTTTTTTTGTTTTGTATATCAGTTATTTTTATATTTTATATATCAAAGTTTTTGATCGTGTTAAGCAAGAAAACTAAAAAAACCTTTTTCTAATTTTGGTATTGAGGTCAACTTTATCAACTTTCTGAGTCACGAAAAAAACAAGAGCACACAAAATTTACGTAAAGATTTTTTTGTAAAATTGTTTTTTAAATTCAAAAAGAATTATTTACAGTATATCAAAAATATTCCAAATATAAATAAAAAATATAAAAATAATACAAAAGAACTAATATTATATAAAATATTATGCGTAATTTTAAGTACCATTTTAAATTTTTAATACATATAACATATTTCTTACCATGTTCAAGATCATGTACTCTCAGAAATATAAAGCAATTTCATGTATTTTAAAAATATACTTATTTGATATTGCAATGCAGTTATTGTACTTTTTTCAAAATTTCCAAGTTCATGTTGAATAGCTTGAGAGAGAGTTTCACCATTTGTACCTTTATTTTCAGTGTAATTGGGCCAAAACAGTATTACACAGGATAAAATAACGTCAAATGTCAACACCCCATTCAGATTCGAAGATTTTTTTTTCCTAAAAGAGCTGCGGCGCTCTAAACTTTTTTTTATTGGGTTTTTTGAATATTGAAACAAATTCATTAGGTGGCTGCAAAAACAACTTAGTAATTTTTGATCTTCTTTTGACATAATGTCAGTGCTGAATTTAATAAGTCTGAATATGTCAGTATTCATTACAATTGACAAAAGCTTGTTGCTTGATAATAAAAAATCACTTTTATGGTTAGAACAATCCAGATGAGTAGTGGCATATTCCTTTACAAGTTGAATTAAAAATAATGACCCATCACATACAACATTCTTCTCTATTTCAGTCGGTGAGCCGTCTGAATTCACTAAGGGATGATTCAACCATAAACTCCAAGAATCCATTGCACTAACAAAGCTAGCTGCGTACTTATCAAGCAAATAACGCTTATCTGTAACCAAATAGATATCTTTAGAAATTGTCAATTTTATTTGAGTTTGAATTAATTCTGATTCAGGTCTACGCATAATGATGTAACCAGCTGGAAATGAACAAAAATGTAATAAAACAAAAACCTAAAAAAATCTATCTGGACAAAAATCCACATACACACACACACACAGACACGCACACACACACACACACACACACACACACACACACACACACACACACACACACACACACACACACACACACACACAAACATAAACACAGGATGAAATGCACCAAAATCTTATTAAGTTCTCAAAATGTGTTCTTTATAATATAATAACACTGGAACTTAAAAATAAGTTTATGAAATTTATATATATGTATATTTATATATACATAAAAATATAAAAGGTCCCTAGCTCAAGTAGAAAGCAAATAGATAACATCAGAGCTTGATTCATCATATAGACAACATCAACAGATAACATCAGAGCTTATTTCAATATGCATGGTAAAGATGCATAATAAAGTAAACAACAAATAAGCAGAGACAATATGCACAATTGAAAAAAATGTGTCTTAAAATCTTAAAAACTGTAAATTTTAGTCAAAAAAAATCCCAAATAAAATTTTATCAACAAAAAGAATGTTGTGTAGCTGCCAAGTTTCTTTTAATAATTCTTAAATCTATAATATTGATAAAGAATAAAAATAGTTATAACAGCTCAAAACAAGAAAAACTAAAAGAAGAAGATAAGTTTAGTTTTTCAGATGTAGACAGTTTTTGACAGAGAGCAATGCTTTGTTTTATATTCACAAAATTTTGAATTTAGTCAAAAAAAATTGTGAAATGACAATACCAAGAAAGTAGACAAAGTTTATAAAAAGAACTGAGCAACAGATATTATGAAAATGTAAACTCATACTGTTGTGGAGTCTGAGGCACAAAGAGATCACCCCTTAGATTAAACATAAGGTCTTAAAATTGTGGTGCACTTTGCATACCAAAATGCAAAACAACAGGAAAAAAACATGATAAAATAAATGAAAAAATTACCATTTATGTACCGTCACCTGAAACTAAAAATTAATGTGAGTGAAACAGTTTGCAGTTGTTAATGATTAACATATTGATGTCTAATCTTTTCTGAAAAAATGAATTAATTCAATAATTTAATTTTAATTTAAGAACTAATTTCTTATTACTATATACTAGGTAAGTTTCTAAGTACTAGCTAGGTTTCCTGGTACTAAGTACTAAAAAGGTTTCTTGGTATTAGGTAATCATGATCTTAGCGGTAGTTAGTAATGTATTAACTTACTTTGAGATTATTAAATCATTCCTTTCTGACCTGTATCAAAGTCATCCTTAAAAACCAACACTCTTTTCTTTTATTTCAATAACCTCTGGGCTATCACATTCTGTACTTGGTCTAGTATTGTTTCTCAATAAAATGGTCTTCCAGACAATCTTAAATCTAAAATAATTCTATTTGCTGACAACACAACTCTTGTCTTGACAAAAAGTCATCTATTTCTGATCACTTAGAACAGACAGATAATCGCGAATCTAATCTCTCCTTTTTTTTAATCAGCCTGGGGCTTGAAGTGGCTTGTGAATTTTAACTCCAGAAAAAATCAGTTATTTACTTCAAAAAATTATTGCAATACTGTTGATATTTATATATTGATGAATAACTCTCACTGTGTGAAGACAAATGAAGCTACTTTAAATTACTCCAGGTAAGATTCAGGATCACTTTGCTACTGGTATTATGTAATCCAAACTACCTGCTGCCTTGTAGTGCTTTTTTAGGCAAAAGCTAAGAAAAACAAACTCTGACTTAAAAATTCCCTGCTTTGGGGCTCTTGGTTGAGTAAAGGCTAGAGGTGGTGTCTCGTTAAAATTACTCATCTTGGGCAGATAATAACTGCATCCAGCTAAAATTCTCCTGCTTTGGGGCTCTTGGTTAAGTAAAGGCTAGAGATAGTGTCTTGATAAAGTTTCTCGCATCTAATCTTGAGTGAAATAACTTACTGTCAGACAACCAATATGGTTTTTGATTCTCTGGCTCTACAGCTGACTTGTTAAATGCTGTGACTGAAAGATTTTATCATGCATTAGATGGAGGCGGAGAGATTAGGGCAATAGCTCTTGACATATCCAAGGCTTTTGACAAAGTTTGGCGTGCTGGTCTTCTCCATAAGCTTGTTTCATATGGTATAGTTAGGAAAGTTTTTTTTAGATTATCAAATCGTTTCTTTTTAACTGCTTTATTAAAGTCATCCTCAAAGACCAACAATTTTCTTTATTTCCAGTAACTTCTGGGTACCTCAAGGTTCTATCCTTGGTCCTGTTTTATTCTTATCTAAATTAATAATCTTCCCAACAACCTTACATCTAAAGTAGCTTTTTTACTTCTTTCTTGACGAAAAGTCTTATCTTTTCAATCGTTTAAAACAGATGTGATAATGGTTGGAGGTTGGCAACAAGAGCAGGTTTAACTATGTTTACAATGCATTTTTGTACCTTGTCTAAAAGAGAAAGAGCGTCATTAGAAAATCTGCCCCAGCCAACAGTTTTCCATACAAGAATACTGTTGATTTTTCTCGGAAACCTTATATCAAATTGATTGCAAAATTAGCATCTGCTAAGGTTGCATCTCTTTATCATGCTTGCCACTTTCTTATTCCATATGGAATAAAAAAGTGGCAAGCACGATAACGAGATGCAACCTTAGCAGATGCTAATTTTGCAATCAATTTGATATAAGGTTTCCAAGAAAAATCAGAGGTAAAAGTTGATCCTAGAAGATAAAGGGTATGACTCATCAAGTATATTACTGCTCGTAGATATAGTAAGATCTAAATTGATGCGATAACAATTAGCTGAAAAAAATTGAATTTTATCTGGATTAAAGTTCACTGAGAGCCCTATGCTTTAGTAGAAGTGAGATCTTTTTCAAGCTCAAATGCGCTCAATCAATGTTAAGCAATCAGAGAATGTTGACTTTTTATCAAGACAAGAATAAATGGTAGTATCATCAGCCAAAAATGCCACCTTAGATGTGAGAATATCTAAAATAATGATAATGTAAATTAAAAAGTGTATAGGGCCAGAGATAAAACCTTGAAGAACCCCTGAAGTTACAGCATATGAAGAAGAGTAGAGTCCATCAAGAACAACTTTTATATTACGATTGGTAAGGAAGGACTCAATAATCATAAAGATGTTACCTGATACACCATAAGAAGAAAGCTTATAGAGAAGACCAGAATACCAAACTTTATTAAAAGCTTTAGAAACGCCAAGAGCAATAGCCTTAACTTCTTCACATCTATCTGATGCACGATAAAATCTATTGGTTAATACTGTTAGCCAATCAGCTGTAGAATGAGAAGATCGAAATCCATATTGATATTCAGAAAGTAAGTTATTAGATTCAAGATGAAAGATTAAGTATTTGTTAATTAAAGATTCAAAAACCTTGCTTATAATAGGGAGAAGACTAATGGGACAGCAGTTAGATTGCTCTCCAGAGTTTTTGAAAATAAGGGATAACAGATCCGACTTTCTAGCCAGCTGGAAAATATGACTCTGATAAGCACTTGTTAAATAGTTTTAAAAGTATAGATGACAGCTCCTGAGAACACTTCTGCAAGACTATAATAAATATGTTGTTCGACCACAAGTTGTAGAAGAGTCTAAGCAGGAAATCACTTTAGATACAGAAGCTGGAGTGATACGAAGGTCAGGCAACAGACTAACCTGTTTGTTAGCTATATCAGGTAAAACGCAATTAGTGAAATCAAGCGATGATTTCGATGAAAAGTTCTTAGCAAACAATTCAGCTTTAGGTGAGGTGACAAAATCTAAACCATACAAGAGAGGTGGAATAACAGATTTGCCCTTATTATAGATACTGTTAAAGATTCTCCAGAAGTCATGAGAGCCTATTTTTTGAGATGAAATATGAGATTTCAAGACCTGAGAATAGAGGGCTTTGGACTTAGACAAAACCTTTTTACAATGGTTTCTAGCAATAGCAAAGAGATGCCTGTTTTCTGGAAAATTGTTTTGCTAATAGTTTCAATTAAAAGTTGCAGCAGCACAATGTGAGGAAAACCATGGAGAAGGAATAAAGGATTCCATGCCAGCCTGAATCCTAGAAGTTAAATAAAAAGCACATTTGTCAGCAGGAAGACAAAAGATTTCTACTCAAAAGCCATCACAAAGAAAATCACGGAAAAAGTCCCAGTCAGCTTAAAGGTAGTTGTAAGATGTATGATAATAGAGGATTCTGATGATGAAGAAGAATGAGATAATAGTTTTAGATAGATCAAACACAAAAAATGTGGAGAAACTAAGCACTGACTAGGATCAGAAACTAGACAAAAATCGAGTAGATAGAATAACTGATTGAATGATTTGAATTGTCTGGAAAACGAATTGGAAAGTTGACTATTTGAGTTAGAGATTGAGAAAGGCAAAAGTTGTGGGTTTTAACGCCTGCAGAGTCACTGACACTAGAGCCATTTAGTGTGATGAGCATTTAAGTCATCAGCAACAGCAATATTGGCTGAAGTTTTAAGAGAGACTTGGTCAATACGATCATAACATTGAAAAGAGTACAGTCATGAGATGAAGTAAAGCAATATAGAACAAAGAGAAAGGCAATAGAGTAAAGTGGTGCTAAATGGATAGAAAGGCGATAGAGTGAAGCGGTGCTAAATGGAAGCACATAAAAAAATAGTCTAAATTCAAACCTAGTTTCCTGACAAATTGGTGAATTCTTAAGAACATAAATGCCCAGGCCGAGCATGTGACTATTGGAGTCTATACAATTTAAAGGAAGATAATTATCAACATTAAGATCACAAGATGAGACAGCCAAACTCAAATTAGTCTCACAAAGTGCAAGTAGGTCTAGTAAACTTTCCAAGAGATAAGACTAAACAGAATAAAAGTTACTTTGAAGACCATGAATATTAGTGAATGATAGATTTAGAGAACTTGGTGATGACAATGGTTTTTTGAATTTTAAAGTTTTTGGTACTTTAGTCATTTTTAAATTTCAAAGAATTTGACACAAAGGACAGATAGTACTCAGTACACTATTTAATAGTCCAAGCAATTGCCTTAATACTATTAATAAATCCTAAGCCTTAACAAAGGGCTCCAAATGTGGCCTCGACAATGTACTCTAAATGTACAAACAGGGACACCATCTATGCGCAACATGGTACTGTTAGTACTCTGATATTTTACAGCTGTTGACAGAATCAGCCTCTCTGAGAGCTACCACAGAGTTTAGGAAGTAGAATACCAGCCAATTTCAGAACCATAAAATTGAGTTTTAGAGCTGTACCCTCATTAGGAGATAATAGATAATATAGAGGATAATAGATAATAGAGGATAATAGATAATAGAGGAGATAATATTTCCTAGTCATAAAAATACAAAGATAGATATGCATTGAGTCAAAAAGATCCAGCATTCAACATCCTAAACTGGAAACAATGTATTATAAATGCATCTGCACCAGCCAAATAGATGAAGAAAGAGTGTGAGGCTGGTCAACAGTCAACATAGAATCTGTTTACCCCTTAAATCTTTGCCTAGGAGGCCTTCAACAAGACAGTAGCCGGATGCATTTAATATCTGCCCAGGATAAGTATTTTTATCGAGACATCGTCTCTAACAATACTCTAATAAATTAGTGAAAAAGAACAAAATTTAATTGCCAAGTTAGCATCTGCAAAAATTACCATTCTTTAAATGTGCTTGCCATTTTCTTACTCCTGATTCCATTCTCTGCCGCTAATTTATCCCTGTATTGAATACTAATTTATCCCTGTATTGAATACTGTTTTCTTTTTTGGTTTTTCTAATGATGCCCTTTCTCTTCTTGACAAAGTCTAAAAATCTATTGTAAATGATGGACCTGGTCTTTCTGCTAAGTTTGAACCACTACCCTATAACTGCATAATTGCATCTCTTTCTTATTTCAACAAGTACTATCTTGGCCGCTGCTCAAATGAGCTATTATCTCCATTAACTTACTCAGGCTTCGGCAGGAATAAAAACCGTACGGGCTATGAAAAGCTCGTCTTAAATAGACTTGGCGGGCTATGAGGGCCGCCCGTCTAGATGGTCTTGCACGGGCTTTTTTAAACTTTAAAAAAAATTCTAAAGTTTGAACTTTTTTTTTTAAATTTGTTAATTTCTCTTCTTCTTTTTGAATGAAAATGTCATTGAATATTAAACATTTTGTGAATTGCACTAAAATAATATGTTAGAAAGCGATTAACTGTTTAAAATGCTTAATTACTTAAGTAATTAAAACACTGCAGTAAATGAGTTGGAAAATACTTATAACTAAGATTTCAATAATTGTTTTTCAAAGTTTTTACTTGCACAGATCTAATTTCGTTTCACGTGGGTTAGTTGTTTTATGGTTGCTTTTGTTTAGATTTCTTACTCGAAGGAACTTTATTCAGTTTTTTATGTTGTTTTTTTTTAATCTTTATTCCAGATAATATCTGGCAGATATAGTCAAACGAATGAACGTGAAAACGACGGGAAAAATCCTCGAAACAACCATGGCGTTTCATCACGTTTCCTTATTCAAGCATCCTAACGTGTTTTTTTACCGAAGTCTTTTTGAGTATATTTATATATTATTGTTTTATTCAAGTATTCGATTAAATTATACAGGTTTTTATCGTGCTTTTTTAGTTCATTCGTTTCTCTTATTCTTTGTGAATAAAAATATTACATAATATTTTCAAAATCTAATTTTTTTAATTATTCAGCAAATAGTTTGAAATCTTTTTTTTTTTTAACCTTGAATCAATGAGCTCGATAGTTTTAGAATTGTTTGGTATTAGCTTGGTAATATGATACGTAACTATGTTATTTTTCAAATTCAATTATTTATATACTCTTGCATTTTATTGGGCGTGCAAATTAAAAACTTAAACTGTTATTTATATTTTTATAACTTTGCTTTACCTATGCCTATCCTGATCGGAAATAGTTATTCTGATACGTGAATAAAAAATTTGAAATCTAATTTCTTTTAATAAAATAAGTTTTTATTTAGAAGTACTAATAATTTCTTAAGATACCGGGGCTTCCGTTACTTTATATACAATATAAGCATGTATATAAGCGTATGTATGTTGCTAGCTTTAACGTTCGTAGTGCCCTCTATAAATGCTAATGCTTTTGATTTTGCCAGACCTTTTAACTCGCGAAGCAATTCTTTTTTATATTTTATACAAACCATACACCATATCTTCACAACAAAAATTGTTCCATTCTCCACCTCAGTTTCTTTTCCACAGACTCCATCTTTACCCTAACTCAAAAATGTTGCTAATGTAACTCTTCTACCAGATGATGCCATTACTATCTTTACTGAAAAACTTGAATAACTTGAAAAACTTGAATGACTGGATAACTTGAATAACTTCATAACTATAAAGCAACACTATTTATATTATCTACAAAAATTGATTAGACGTTTGTTGATTTTTAATGAGATATTTCATTTTCAATAACGAGTTATATAGTTGCATATTAAATAAACTGCCGTCTCTTTAAGAAAAAACGTGAAGTTAACGCGGAAGTTAACGCGAAAATATCACTTTAAATGTCTTTAAAGTAAGACAAACTAGTTTATCGGAAAAAAGCGAAATACATGGATAATTAGTTTATTATCGTTATTATTATAAACATTGAAAAACCAAAACAACATGATACTTCTTGTGCATCACATGTGTATATTTCCCTATTTAATATAATAGTTATTAAATTTTGAACATAATATGGTAACTGTTTGGTATTATATCAAACAGTTATCGTCGTTTAAAAAACTGTAAGATTTAGTTATATTATTTTCTACATCATGTTATACAATAATGATTAAATTGTTTAATTTTTATATTTAAATATAAACAATTATAAGTTGGAGTTTGCTATCCATATTAAAATTATGTCATGAGAGAAGTTTTAAAAGAGTATCTTAATAAAAAAACATCAAAATATTCATCTTTTTTTTTACACAAAACTTATGTTTCAGACGGGCTTTATTTCGCCCGTCTAAACTGACTTAGACGGGTGCGGAGACGGACACGGGCTATAGCCCGTCATTCCTGCCGAAGCCTGTTTTTATTACTTAACTTGTCATTCAGCTAAGTTGCATCCTTTTACTTTGCCAGTCTCTTCATGCTCTAAAAACTTTGTAACTCTCCCCCATCTTCATCTTATATACCCATCTTGTTATCCTAACTCCTTCAAATTACAGTTTTTTAAGTCTTCTGTCAACTGCTTTCTCTCTCTTGAATAATATTCTTTATACTCTGAAACTCTTAACATAAAGAAAGGTTGCTTGCAGCCTTGTTGGGAGTGAATTAGTTTAAAAAAAAATGTGTCTTAGACTATCACAAGCCTAAAGCTCCAAACAAACTCTCAGCTAATTAATGTACATTTAATTCTGGCTATCCCTATAAGCTATTTCATGTTTTAATACTTGTATGATTATGCATTGATAATTGTTTGATGTATTGTATATATCATATATATGATGTGTATATAATGTCTAATATGTCTAATAAAATAAAAAATAGCAACATGTAAATTTATTTATATTTAAATAAATAAAAAATTTGCAGTCCTTGAAATATGATTTAACTTGTAAATAAATTCAAACATTACTGGTTTTCAGTTTGCATTTTACAAACATTATTTTTTTATTAATGGTAGTAACATACTGTTTGTTATTAAAAATTTATAATTCAAAAACTTTTGTTTATTATTGCAGCCTTTTTTTTAATGTAGAATTCAAAATAAAAGTTTTTTTTCAATTTTTCTTTGTTCTTAGTTTACCTAAACTTCAAGTCAAGAAATAAAATACAAAAAAAAAAAAATATTTTATTTTGTTAAAAAAGGCAAAATAATTTAAAGATTTTTATACTTTTCAAAGACACTAAAAAGAAAAATTAAATTTTCAAACTAAATTAAATATTTTAATTTATATTTAATTTAACAAATTTTAAATAATTTATTTCATGGAATAAAAGTAAATTTGAGCTCAAAAGTAATTTATTCTCAAAAACAATACCACTAAACTTACCTTCCACTTGATTTATATAACTCTTCAAGTTGTGAACTTATAAATGAGGTGTCAACAGAGCGTCAACAAGACTGCAACTCTACTTATATTTAAAAACTATAAAGTTATAATAATCAAAATCATCTCCAAATTTTAAAATAATGTATTTCCAAATAATAAAATATTGTATTTCCAAACAATTCACAAACTTGAAATTCTATTCTTAACTTTTTTTATGTATAAATAATGTACAATGAAGTTTCATGAAAAACTAGTTACTGTAACATATAGAAACTTGTTAACAAATCTATTTTCTGTACCATCTGCTGACATACAAAAAAAAAATTATAAACTTGTTTGATTGATGTTTTTTAAAAAAATAAACTACCTGTTCCGTCAAATTTATTTTGTAGCATTTCCCAAAGTTGGTAAAGGTATACCCAAACTAACTGTTTATCATATAACAACAAAACACAATCATGTTCTTTAAAGTAACCAATAACAATCAAAACTGTGCATGGATTTATATTTGAGTAGCAAAACATCACAGAATTTTTAAATCGACAGCAGCTTTTTATTTCACTCCTAAAAGCAAAAACAAATTTTTATTTTGTTTATTTGTTAATTTCAAAAAATTATCTAATTTTAGAACTTTTGAATAATAAATTAATTAATAATAAACAAAATGATAACACTAATAACATATTAGTTTAGATAATTACTCAATTTGTTTGATTTTTTTAAGGATTTTTAAGAACAGACAAACATGAACTATAATATAATGACTCTAAAGCTTAAAAAGTTTCTATTTTTTTTATTCTTTTCAATTTCAAAAATGTTTTTTTTTTTTTTTTTTTTTTGGGCTGGTATTCCTGATCTTAGAAATACAATTAAAAATGTCAAAAAAAGATCTAATTCAGACAAGCTTGAGGATTTGGAGTTTCTGGAGGAGAAAGAAGAGGAAAGAAAATTTGTGCTTAGATCAGAAGATAATAAGTACAAAAAAAAAAGTATGTATTTTTTTAAAAGCAAAAAAAAAAAAAAAAAAAAGGTTTGCAAGGTTTTCTCAGCAACTTACTTACAATTTGCAAGCCACTTTAAAAGATTTAAAATAAAAACAGCTAAACAAAAATAACAATGCTCACTTACTATTTCAATTTCTCATATAAACAAATTAAATTATCAACTATTTAATTCTTTTGATATTTTTAGGCAATAGTGCTGTACTTGTAAATATTGAAGGTGAGACACACCTGCTTGGAGTACCTCCTTTAGCGTCATCCTATAGTGAAGATCAGTACAATGGTGTAATCAACCTTCTTAAGGAGTACAATCTTGAAGTTAAAATAGGAGGAATATGTTTTGATACTACTGCAAGTAACACTGGGTTAAAAAAAGGTTCTTTAATAAGAATATCCAACAATATAGGCAAATATCTTTTACTTATTGCATGCAGACATCATGTATGTGAATTAAGAATGAACATTCCACAGGACCAGATAACCTTATGTTTAAAAAATTAAAAAATGTTTTTGAATTCCTCATTTTAATTATAATCAAACAGAACTAATAAAGTTTGATTGGAAAGCAGTAAGGGAAACCTATCTTGAAGCTGCACAAGACTCTTTAAAATTTTGTCAAGAATACATCACAAAGGGAAAATAAAATAAAGATTTTATCAGACAAGATAGAAAGGAGCTTGCAGAACTTGTTGTGAGTTACCTTTCTTCATCTTCAGTAAAACTAAGAAAACCAGGAGAAGTTCATCATGCTAGATTCCTATCTAAAGCACTTTACTTCCTAAAGCTACAGCTTCTACCCAGCCAAATTTAGTTCGTAAATCAGAACAATTAACTCAAGACAGAAATCAGGCTAATAATATGGTGCAGGCTAATGACACTATTAGAGCTCCCTCGCTTGATATAAAAGTAATACACCAAATACACCAAATGCAAAAGTACCAAAAACTTTGTGCCAAACCAGATGCTGTCGATACAGTTTTAAACTGTCTATACAAACATAGCTGGTATTCAGATTCAACAATGATTCCTCAATGAATGCTCTTTTGGATGGTGATTTATCATTTGAGGAGAAAGCAAACCTTGCAAAAATAATTCTAACTTTTAAAATACCGATTTCAAATTGGTACAATACTAAAAACAAATCAAATATAGATATAAAAGATAAAACAAAAATTGGAAACGAAATAAGTGAAAATTCTTCTTCCCTTGTTCTGTTGGTTGATGAATTTTCATATCTTATGTTTGATAGAATTGGATTAGAGGAACAAAGGATAGAAGATTGGCTTTTGCTTCCCCTTGAGTATTGGTTTACTCAATCTGTTTTTAAAAACTTTCAGAATTATGCCAAATCTTTAATTTTAGTAAATGATCATTCAGAAAGATCTGTTGGAATGATGCATCAATTTATTCACTGATACAACAATGAGGAAGATAAACAGAATACATTGCTAACTTTTGAAAAGGTTTGGTGTGCTTTCAGAACACCTGGAAGATGTTCAAACAAACTTTCTAAAATAAAATTTATTGAAAGCTTATCTTCTCTTGATAAAAAAAAGAAAAGTGGTGAAAATAAACATAACCGTAACTGAAATTATTTGAACTTGAAATATAATCCAATTACATGAAACTATCATCAAATATTGTAGTTTTTTTAATTTAAAATACAAAAATAAAAATATTTTTGAATATCATTTGTTTTACTCAAATATATAGGTAAAAAAAAACAACCAGGAAAAATAATTTCTAATTTTTTTAGTTAAACTTCCTCCCTGGACCTGTGAAATCGGCAATTTCTGATGGTTTTTGAGAATTTTTTTTCTAAAAAAGAGCTTAAGGGGTAAGGATTGAGTGGTCCTGTTGAGCTTAAATTTTTTGGGAGTTGTTTTTTTAACATTTGCCAGAAATCTAGAGTGTATGGTTATTCTAGAATCGAAAATTTCCTTAAATTGATAACCCCTAATATATAAATATATATACATATAAATATATATATATATATATATATATAAATATATATACATCTATATATATATATATATATATATATATATATATATATATATATATATATATATATATATATATATATATATATATATATATATATATATATATATATATATATATATATATATATATATATATATATATATATATATATATATATATATATATATATAGATATATATATATATATATATATATATATATACATATATATATATATATATATATATATATATATATATATATATATATATATATATAGATATAGATATAGATATATATATATATATATATACGTATATATATACATATATATATATACATATATATATATATATATATATACATATATATATACATATATATATATATATATATATATATACATATATATATATATATACATATATATATATACATATATATATACATATATATATATATATATATATATATATATATATATATATATATATATATATATATATACATATATATATACATATATATATATATACAGGGGCGGATCCAGGGTGTCGCGAATGATGCGCATGCATCAGTCTTTTTTCACCGCTAAATTTAAGTGTATCTCTTTTTCACTTTTTTTTCTTAATACAAAGTAAAAGGAGAAATTGGAATCTGGTATTCACAAAAAATGAAAAACTTGTTTTAAACTCGAAAAAAAATCATTTTAAAGTCAATTTTATTTGATCTCTATAGTTACTTATTCGATCTCTATAGTTACTTATTCGTTACTTAGACAAAATTCCTGCGTTTTGGAGCAACTGATGCAATTGTTCTTCACTAAATACAAATGTGATTGGTTTTAAAAAAAAAAAGTACGTTTTAACCAATCATATTTGTATTTTTTCACAAATTTTTCCGATCACTTTGTAGCAACTGATGCAATTGTACTCTAAATCATTAATGATTGGTTAAAAAACAGTTTAAACCAATCACTATTTAATAAAATAACAATTGCATCAGTTGCTACAAAACTTCCGCAAAAAACTTCACAAAAAAGATAAGAAATGTTATTTATAACCAATCAAATTTGTAGAAAGTTTAGAACAATTGCATCAGTTGCTCCAAATCGTTCAAATTTTACAAAATTCTGATATGCCGCCTGATATACGTTCTTCGCTCGTAATTTTCGTCGTTGGACTTTGCTTGTAAACTAAAGTTTTAAAAAAAAATGAATTTTTTAGTCTCAAATGCAATTAAGGCTAGACATTTGCCAAATATTCGCAAATATAAAAACCAGTTGACTGAAGAATTGAAAGTTTTAAATAATAAGAGTCCAGTTCAGCCACATAGTCAGTCTTCTGAAAATACTGAAATGGATCATTTTATCCCAAAGCAAGAAGATACTAAAGATTATGTTGCTTTAAGGTAAAACCCTATTATTAAAGTTAATGGTATTTTATATTTCCAGCTAGTATTTAATATAAACTGAGCTTGTTTTAGTATACTTTTTATTTTATTTAAGGTCATCTGAAGATGGAAATTGCCGGCAATTTCCATCTTCAGATGACCTTTCCAACTTCAGATGACAATTTCCAACTTCAGATGACCTTAAATTAAATAAAAAGTAGAGGCATGCCTCTGGCAACTGTAGAGGCATGCCTCTACAGTTCAGCTTCACTTTTAAGCAATCTGCTCTGAAGACAGTTAATGTATTGAGGCTTCTAACTTCGATTGAATTGTTTGAAAAAGTTTGCTACTATGCGAGGTACTCCCTTTTTGTTAAATAAGTTAAAAACAATAATTTTTTTATCTTTCCAGTGTTCTAGTAGCCTGTGTTTCTTTTGAATGTTCAGATCAATTTAAATTAATTAACAGTGAATCTACTTCTGAAATTATAATAATGGAAGCATTGATCAACTGCCGAGCTAACAAGTTTTCTTCATTTTTATGTCTAATTGCTTTGTTATCAGTTTTATATATTCCTATTAGATCAATTTATACTGATTTTGGCTTCGAAAAATTCAAAAAACTTTTTAATGCAATTATTTTTTCGTTCCATTATTTATATATATAATTATCCATTTCGTTCAATTAAAAATCAAGATCAAAATGTTTTAAATATTTTATGGTGTAATACTGATATTATGTCAGTGATGCAAAATAATGATAACTGGACACCGAACCATTTTGTACCAATTATTAAAAAACCTAAACTAATTTCTAGTAATAATAAGAATTTGGCTATAAAAAACGATACTACTTATCCTTTACACTTTTTTAGTCCTAAAACTGAAACAAATAAAAAACAACAACTTGATTCTGCAAAACATGTCAAAATTTAATCTAAAATTAACTTTAAAAAAGACAATGCTTTCATAGAGTTGCCTTTTGAACCTTCTGTAGATTCAAAAATAGTTAAGTCATTAGACTCCAACTCAGTTATTATTCCTTCATATAATGAATTAAATTCTTTGTATGATATTTCAACATATCTTGTTCGAGGTAAACTTTTAACTGCTGGCAAAGATGATTCTATTTTGTTAGATATGGTAAACAAAGTATTTTGTCCTAATTCTATGTTTGTTTTTC